AACCCAACCCGAAATCAACCCCAAGTGTCTTGACCCAACCCGAACCCGACCCACCCAACCCAATTGCCAGGTCTACCCCAGTCGAAGGGGCGGGGGCAAACCACTTTCTTTCCCCTTATCTTTTCCTTTCCTTTTCTCTTTTTTTGTTCTTTTTCTTTCCTTTCCCTTTCTTTTCCTTTCCTTTTTTTCTTTTTTCTTTTTTTCTGTCTTTTTATATCAGATGTGCATGAGGCACATGAGGCGTACGCCTCTAGCACGCCTCATGAAAAAAGTGCAAGAGGATACGCCTCTTGCACCTGAGGTGTACGCCTCAGAGGTGTCAACGCCTCTGGCATACGCCTCAGCGTTTTGGGAGCGCCTCCAGGCGTACGCCTCTCACGCCTTTTAAAACACTGCATTCCACTTCTTTCCTATTATAGACTTTCAATTTGGTGAGTTCTTTTTTTGATTTCCTAGGTTTCTTCCCCTTCGTCTTTGTTTGATCACTATTCCTCTTCTCTCTTTACTTTGGTCATCAATCTCCTCTTTCTCTATTGGCTCTGAGGGAATCCCCTACACCTCTAATCTTTCCTCATTCATCCTCCAATTCAACTAGGCTTACTAAATGTTCTAAGACCAACACCATAATCTCCTCCTCCTCCATTGCCACTCCCACTCTTCCTCCCTCTTCTAGCTCAAGAAGGTCAGAGTTCGCATCAAGTGTGACACCAATAGTTGGACTTGCAAAGTCAATAGGAGAGGGATTAGAACCAGGCCGTGTAGAAGTAAATTCAGAAGAGAAGATAGAGAGAGGAGGAATAGAAAAGGGTAGAGGGGGAAGAAAAATCCCTGAACCGAACTAGTACAAACTTTCCCAAGGTTAAGCTTTGGGTGGTCGAGTCCATTTCTTGATCAACCTGTACAACCAACAAGTTTTGTTCCTTAGGTGTTCTTGTGCTCGATTCCTTGTGATCCTCTTCACCCCACTTACAAACACCCTATTCCTGTGCTTGTCTTGTTCCTACATTTTTTATCCTTGTGGTTCCTCCAAAGATCCCCACAATCGGTACTAATTTCTTCCACTCATGTTTCCTTCAGCCCCAAAATTTCTATACCAAAATGTTCTTTGAAGAGAAGCTTTGTTCCAAGCTAATATAAATCCATAATTTTGCAACCTTTCGTTGAGTCCACACTTTCGTTGCTTGACGGTTAGTTAACTTTTTCATCTAAGTCCCTTGGTTCCACCCAATCGTTTTCATCATCAAAATCATGCTCTTAATCACTGTTAAAGCATAGATTGGGCTTATCAAGTGTTGTTGAGTATTCCACCAAGATTTTCTTCCAGCAAAAACTCTTTTGTGGACATTTCAGGCCTTTTGCCGCCAGAGGGAGAGAAAAGGGAACCCTCCTCTGCTCAATAAGTTCGCCACCTGAGCCTAAGTCTGAGGAAAGACTGGTTGTATCAAATGGGGCGATGCTTTACATCCACATTCAAGTGCTCTTGAGGCATGGATTCTTTAAAGTGGTCACATGACTCCATATCAGTTCTACACAAGGCAGCTAGGTTAGACCTTGGTTCAGGCTGGTTCCATAAAAAAGAATTGCCCTAGTTCGACTTTGTTCTTACCACCTCCGCATAAGAGGCCTTGTCGGCCCTTGGATTAAATTCAAAATAGTTTGAAAATTTATCCATTAAAGGAAATCTTCGGTTACTGAGACTTCCTCCGACTTCTCAGTCTTCCATGTTTATTGCGATCCACCCAGCTTAGAGTCTTAGACCACATGGCATCTAGTGCACTACATCATCATCTCCTTCGACCTTCAACTCAGAGTTCCAGAGTAACACTTCAGCTTCCAATATGAGCTATATTGTTATCCAGGTCTCATCAGAAAATACCTCCAAAGCTCGAGGGATATTTCTTGGTTTCGCTCCCACAAGCTTAATCTATGTTGCTCGCAGATCCTTCATACAGTAAGCTTCTAAGACTCCACCACAAATAGCTGCAACTCTTGGAGAACTTGCTCCTTCCAAAGGTCGAAATGTAGCCCAAGAAGCTTGATAACCAGACTACCATTTACACAGGTTTCTTCATTACAATTGAGCAACCAGTTTTCTATTGTTAGTTTCCCATATCTTGTTTCCAAAGCCAACATTGCCAACTGAAATTTTCCCACGTCTAATATCGCCTTCTTTTATCCAAAAGGTATAAGGATCACTTTTCTTTGGATTGAGATTTTCCACTATCATCCTCAAGATTTCATTCCAGTCTTCTACTCTTTCCTTTGTCAAGATAACTTTTCTCCCTTCCTATTGGAAAACGTGGGGTTACTGGTGCAGATCTATATTTGGTAGTTGTGTAAAAATAGAATTGTATATATTCCTAGGATTGTGGAAGAATTGATTTAGAAAGTTTTTCTTTCTATTCTTGTACTTTCTACTTTCTTTTCTTTCGATTTTTCTACTTTCTATTTTCTTTTCTTTCTATTTTTTTCTTCTTTCTAT